TATATAAACAGCTGGTTTTAGACCATAACATCCCTTTCAGACAGCTTCCTCTTGCGTCCACAGTTAATCCTGTTGGATGTGGTTCACCCTTCTTGGTGGTATGCTGACATTACACTGGATACCGTGGCTCTTAATATATCATAAAGACTTGCTGTCTTGGTCACAGTTGCCCCAGAAAGACGTGCGCCAACAAGATGCCCTCTTTTGAACTCTRGTATGTCACCCATAATGTTGTGTGCATTACAATACTTTGAGCAAAACTGTGGTCTTACCCTTCTAATTGAACCTTCACACWCTGTTCTTACTGGTGCAATGTGCAATTAATGAAGATTGGCCACCAGTCTGGTCCAATTTAGCCATGAAACCTCCCACATTAAAATGACAGGTGTTTCACTTTCATTGTCTAATCTCTGTATATACTTTATGTGTTTGTGTTGAGCTGTTGAGGCTATTTCGATATGGGAACCCTCTTCTGTGTCTTCCAACAGGTGATCTGTGCATATCACAGTCTGTGAAAATTCCACGTGAACCAAGACTCGGAGAGTTTGACAAAATCATCCATCGGCTGAGTGAGAACCCAAATGCTCGAGTGGTCATCATCTTTGCCAATGAGGATGACATCAGGTGAGAAAATCCCTAAACACAGTCAATTCAAGAGTTTTAGATGAAACTTCAGTTAATCAAGAGATAGATATTCATGGAAAACCTAGCAGAGTCTTTCATACAAATACACTCAAAAAATGGAATGCGAAGCATTTTAAAGATGAACAAATTGAAAAGTTGTCACAAACATCATCATAACAAAAGAATACCATTATGGGGGTTCTTTTATCATTTGTACAGAACAAAAAATCATATGAAAAGTGTGACTACYATTTTGTCCCCATTGTAACTATCATCCTGCTAATAGCCACATAATATAATGTGACATATATTCTGCTGTACTCATCTATTCTAATCTGTCCTAGAAAGACAAAAGTAACGTTGACAATGTCCTTGTTCTTCTTGTGAAGACACAATAGTATCAGCTAAGATTCATTATCTAAGAACAATCTTAAATAGAAATTAATTAGTTAGTAGTTGGCAGATTTATCACAAGGTCTCTCTCGCTCTCTCCCTCTCTCTCACACACACAATCTGGTACAGCTATCTTTATGGGAACCTGACATTTACTTCCATTATTTTCCACAGCCTAACCCTGACCACCTGGTCACCTGACCCTAAAACTAACCTAAACTCAATTCACACCTTAGTCCTGAACTTAACCCCGACCCACCATTGACGTTTCCCCTTAAGGAGACTAGACTCAGGTCCCCATAAGTAAGTGTGTATGCCAAAAAATGTCCCACAATGCAGGGAATACCCCCCCCCAACACACACACACACACACACGCACACATTTGCTGTGGCTTTCAATATTTCCAATCGTAAGTTAAGTAAGCCAAAGTATATTTGGTAGGCAATGATGTGGGTCAGTCTATTGATGATGACCGGGGTAAAAGTCCCAGTGCTCATTGACTTAATCCAGTCCTGATAACGGGTAATAGTCTGGATATGTAGTAATTACAGGAAGCTAAGAGGCTTGYAGTGCRGCATGACTRCTCTATCCTTGAACTCAGTGTCAGYATGCAGCAGCCTAATGAACCTAAATATACTTGCAAGGAAAATATAGGAGAGTTATRTTGTGAAATTCCTGTAATGTTATGCAATTACATGAATATGACGTCTTGTCTCAATGTTTTTCTGAAATTGTTCTATATAGTGT